CCAATATATAGGTTTATATACATTACGTGTTTTAGAAGCTCAAAAGAAATTAACTGATTTTTCATATATACAATATATAGAAAAATTTCCTGTCGCGGCAGAGGGAGCAAAATACTAATAGAGATTTTCTAAGACTGGCTTAAATGTGGCGCAAGGCCGAAAGTATGGGACACACAATGAGAATCGAACTCACTATTCAGTCGTAATTGTTTTAGCGAGACAAGCTTGCTAACCACTACACCGGCTCGAGGTGACAGGGAGCAAAATACTAATACAAGTTGAAAGAATTAATAATAAACAATACATATATAACTTTCAGTAAATATAATAATCATAATATATATAATAAATGAAATAAAATAATAATAACTAAAAATTATATTAAATTATTATATTACTTTTAAAGATGAATGTATTGTTTACATTTTTCAGTCAAATTTAAAATCCGTTAAAACTTGGGAACTTCGACAAAACGGGGCATCTTTCCTGAGTTCAATACGCCATATTGATTAGTTACTAAGAAGAATTAATCAAAAAGCTTAGTATAAATCCTATGGAACTTATCTTAGTAATAGTGGAGGTACCTACTTTAATGTCTACGTCTGCTCTTTAATATCAATGTCCCCAGTGAGCTCTGAATTTTTATTCACCAATTATTGTTTTTCTTCTCTCCCCAAACGAGCAGATAGGTTCGCCTATCGTCCGGTTCACACTCCTCTTCGGTCTACTCCCACACTATATTTCTAACGTCTCCGACTGAAGAAAAATCAGCGTTTCTTTCTCTTTGCACAATTATAGTCACAGTTTATATTTATATATCCCTTCTCCCAATTCATATATACAGTTCCATCAGAAGTGCATTAAAGAGGCCGAAACACAATATTTTTCATTTTGTGACTCAAATATATATATATATATATATAAACGTTGGACATTGAAATCAACACCCAGTGGGGACTGTCTGTTTCACGCTAAACGCAATCGTCAGGTCTTATGATTGCGTATAGTATGAAACAGACTGTCGCCGCTGAATGTTGAATTCAATGTCCACTTTTATATTTACATATGCTCTATCCCTGATACTCAGTACTTTAACCTATAAATATAGCATACCTTAAAACTATATTTCATCATATATATATATATATATATATATATATATATATATATATATACTTAATGTATGTTTGGGTAACAATCTTTCTTTTAAATGTTTCGTTTTGTGGAGTATGTGTGGCAAATGTTGTATGCTTTTTTGGCGGTCACGTGGTATGCGTGGCCGCTTGATCTGGGTAAAACCTGTATTTTTAGAAAACTTGCTATCTCCGCTGCTAAATTGTTTAAGATGGATAGAGGGCGAATAATATTTAATAAGAAATGCTTCCCTAATTATGAGTTGTGTACGGCTATGTGATCTGAAAATAATCTTTGTGTTGTTGACTAGAATTTTTCTTAAAGGTTCTGGTAAATTATAGGTTAATAAGTGTTTATTAATCGCACTCTGCTTTGAAAGGTGGCATGTAAAGCGTCTACTTAAGGAGGTAGTGATGTGATATGGGTCATTGGTTTTTGACAAATAACACAGTCTTGTACTGGACATTGGAATTAGTATACTATATTGGTCATGGCTATTTTAGATTTGGTGGAGTTATTTCAGTTGGTGACCTATATATATATATATATATATATATATATATATATATAAAACTATATTGATTAATCATCAATAGAAAGACTTCATACGATTCATTTTGAATATTTTAAAGTTTATAAACGTGTCGACCAATTTTACTATTTACAAAATTTTAAAAAAATGATTTTAACGCTTTTTTCTTTTAAATTACAATCAATTTAAATTCGGATTGAAATACATCAAAGCGTTTCGCTTATTGGAAATATTAAATTTAATCTATTTGCTTCAAGAGTTTTGATTTTTAAAAATGCGTTTTATACCTTTTATATTGCTTTTCCTTGAGACACCTATATGTGTATGCGTGTGTGTGTTTGTGTGTGTGCATAAATTGTCTCACTATAAAGTTCGTGTGCATTTAAAAAAAATTAAAACTTTATTTGTATTTGCGATAGAAATAATTTGTAAAAAGGATTAGAAAGAAGTAAATCTATATCTTTTAAGGTTTTATTGAAATTTTATTTAAGTTTCCACATGTCCTCCATCCTTAGCAATACAACGGGTAATACGATTTTGCAGTTTACGGAAAACATTTGCCAACTGATTTACAGTAATGCCTGAAATCACATTAGTTATTTTAGCTTTCAAATCTTCTAATGAACTAGGTTTGGTTGCATACACAATTGTTTTCACATGTTCCCATAAAAAAATCTAATGAAGTCAAATCTGGTGAACGTGGAGGCCAATAAAATGGTCCACCTTTTCCGATCCATCTTTTAGGAAATTCCTGATTTAGAAACTCTCTAACATGCAGAGCAAAGTGACAAGGACCCCCCTCTTGTTGAAACGGTGTATTATCTTTCAAGTTTAATTGTTCAAGCTGCGGAATAAAGTAATTTTGCAGTATATCTAAATATCTGTCACTGTTAATAACACGATATTGAAAAAATATGGCCCTATGATCCGATTTTTCCCCAAAGCACACCACACATTAACTTTAAGAGAGTCCCTTTTATGTTCAATAGTTTCATTTGGGTTTTTCAGTTCCCCAAATTCGGCAATTATGCCCGTTGACCTTGCCACTAATGTGAAATGTTGCTTCATCAGAGAACAGTAAACTACTCACAAATGCATCTTCATTGCCAAATTTTTCATTGAACTGATGACAGAAAGTTAGCCTTACATAATAATCTTCTTCTTACAACTGTTGATGTAATTGAATTTTGTAAGCTTTCATGTGAAGTTTTACCCGCATAATCTTATGCACACTAGACTTTGGGAGCCTGAGCTCTAATGATGCACGTCTTACAGACTTTCTTGGACTTGCTGTAAAGGATTTTTCTATGGATACAACAATTTCGTCGCTGATACATGGCCTTCCAGACCGTGGCTTATCATGGACGGAGCTTGTCTCTTTAAATTTTTTCATCCATTTAGCAATAGTGTTCATATGAGGTGGTTATTTATTGTATTTAATTTTAAACTTTCTTTGTACAGCAATAGTAGATTTCAGTTTAGCCAACCAAAGGACACAGTTTACTTTTTCCTCAGTTGAAGCCATGGATAAAATTGATTCTGGAAAAAAGAAAATATTTTTTTACTTATCTAAAAATTGTTGCAAATTTTATGGTAAAGAATTATTCAATAACTATACTTAAAACTAGGTACATTAACCTTTATAACATTTTTTACATGTCATTTCTATCGCAAATACAAATAAAGTTATAAAATTTTTAAAGTGCACACGAACTTTACGGACACCCTGTATATATATATATATATATATATATATATATATATATATATGTGTGTGTGTGTGTGTGTGTGTGTGTGTGTGTGTGTGTGTGTGTGTGTGTGTAGCGGGGTGCGTAGAAAACATGTTCGTTGAATCTTATAGGAAAGAAATTCGAGATTCCATTACCCGGCCACTGTCCATATGTATTTCCCTTACAACCGGATTTCTTTCATGCTGCCTGTTTATTGAACAGCCCATTTCCGATTCGTTCTTTGCGTTCAGCCATGACGCCATAACTGTCGCTGGCTGTCGACGCCCGTAGTCGACAGGAAATCACAATTACAATATTGCGGCTTCCTTGCCGTAAGCCGATCTGACCTCCTCATGTAACGGCACGAATCTGTTACGTATCGAAATTTCAGAAAGTGTGTTTTTTTTTAATATTTATTTCATTATTCTACACTCCATTTAAAAAAAAAAGTTTGTAGCTGCCGTTCTAGAGAAACTGTAGTTGAAAGCATGCTTCTCTTATCAGTGATTGGTGCTGATCTGGCATCTCGTCTAGAGTCGCTCTCTCACAGACGTGCCGTCGCTTCCCTTTGTCATTTCTACAAATACTTACACGGTAACTGTTCCGACGAGCTACTATCGCTAGTTCCCAGACTGCGTGAATTTAAGCGTGCTGCTAGGCTGGCATCACGGTCCCACCCGTTCACTGTCGAAACAGTTAAATGTAGCCGTCTCTTCTACTTCAATAGCTTCATGTCTCGCACCTCCCGTCTGTGGAATTCCTATATAGCTATAATCTTCAAATATTCAAATGCAATGTCAATCGACATCTCCAGATGCCTTGACCTTTTCCCTGTCCTTCTCTTCATTCCTTCCTCTATCACGCCTCTTTACTCTCGCTCCCACTCCCTGTAACATCTTGCGTGCTAGTGGCATCCCTCTTTGCTTGGGGTGAAATGCTTAAGAAAAAGAAAAAAAAATCAGTTTCTGCGGTGGAAAAATCCCGTTTTTAATTTGGGAATAAAATCCATTCTTTTCGCACCATTTCCGACTTGTGATACTCCAAGGGTATGAATCATCCAACCATATTTCCCCATGTTTTAGTTTCCGTTTATGACCCCAAATCGTTTATGGTTTTCAAGTAAGTCCCGAGAAAATAAAAAATAAAAAAGGCGCCTTTGGATATCTGATCTCTCTTATATCGATAAGCACAATTATTATATGACAGGATGTCATATAATAATTGTGCTTATCGATTCCCTTCGTGAGTTCCTTAGATGGCACAACCGTTACGCCCTGCCAATACCTCGTAAATAATCGACTATTCCGTTCTGACTGCATGGAAAGGCCAAAGTCATACCAGAGACGATGATTGGTTTCAGGGAAAAAATGAAAGAAGTGCTGAACTTTTCCTGTTAACACCTATTAAAATGGACTATTCCGTTTTGATCGCGTGAGAACAGAAAAGACACATCAAAGACGCTACTTGGTTTCAGTGAGAAAATGTAAGAAAGAAGGGAAGATAGAAATGTTTAACGTGTCCTGTCGATACCTTATAAACAATGGACTATTCTGTTTTGATCGCGTGGAAAGACAGGAAAGACATATCGGAGATGCTGCTTGGATTCAAAGAAAGAAAGAAAGAAAGAAAGAAAGAAAGAAAGAAAGAAAGAAAGAAAGAACAAGATAGAAGTATTTAGCGTCTCCTGCCAATACCTTATAAATAATGGACTATTCCGTTTTGAGTGCGCGGAAAGCAAGGTTAGACATATCATAGACGCTACTTAATTTCAGAGAGAAAATAAAAAAAAGAAAGAAAGAAGTGAAGATAAAAGTGCTTGATATCTGTTTCTGTGAAATGGAAAACATTGTCAATTTCATTTTTTTTTTTCATTTGTATCCCCTTACTTCTTAAAATAACGACCAGCATTCATATTTATGATTGTTATTGCAATATTTTGTAAAAGTTACTAAGCTCAAGTATTTAACGATGCCATAGGGGAATTTCTACAGATATTTTATTGTCGTAGAATTTGCCATGAGCCTATTCAATCATTAACCGAAGAATTAAAAATCATCAGAAATTTCAAACAGGAAAATAGTGAATTTTTTTCTCTTTAAATTTCGTATACGGAGACGCATGCGCAGATAGATATTTATTCAATGTGCCTTCTTAAGTCTTTCACTGACATGAAGTGGAATAATTATATTGAATTAGTTGTTGGATCTGCTGCTAAGAAAGTTGGTTCACTCTGACGTGTTTGACTATTTTTTTCTCGCCAGAATCTTTCTTGCACGTTTTAAATCTACTATTCGTCCCTGCATTGAATATAACTGCAACATGTTGTCGAGTTTTCCTGCTATATATCTCGAGAGAGTTGATAAAATCCAAATAAGGGTCTGTAATGTTTTCGGGCCTTTCGACTTCAGCGACTTCCTCACTACCATGACGTAACTCCCCTCTGTCTTTTCTATAAATATTTGATGAGATTTATTCCTTGGTATGGTATGTATTTAAACTTAGTACAGGATTGGCAGTTAGGTCTCATCGTTTAACAGTTGAAATAGCTAGATGTAACCGTAAATTCTATTCTAATACTTTCTTTTTTTCGCACTTCAAGAAAGAAGAAGAAATATCAACAGATGATGTTGAAATTTCCTCCAGCTTTTCGCTTCCCCGATATCTACAATCATTAAAACTTTAAATGCAACATCAATCGCCATCTTCTGTATTCCCGAAAATTATTCCTTCATTGTCTTTTCTCTTCACTAACGTTTTCATATTCTTTTACTCTCAGTAACCCAGTGCGTCTCAGTGACCTTATCGCCTTACTTGAGAAGGGAGAACGATTTTTAAAAAATTAAGTTGAGTGATTTTACGACATTTCAACGCTTGTTGGGTTACTTAATGTTTAAATTCATACGTGGCACTCAGCGAAGATGTAATCATTAATAATAGTCAAGCAGACTAGCTTCACTAGCCATTACCCCATTTACTACAATTATCAAAACTTTAAATGCAACATCAATCGCCATCTTCTGTATTCCCGAAAATTATTCCTTCATTGTCTTTTCTCTTCACTAACGTTTTATCATATTCTTTCTCTCAGTAACCCAGTGCGTCTCAGTGACCTTATCGCCTTACTTGAGAAGGAGAACGATTTTTAAAAATTAAGTTGAGTGATTTTACGACATTTCAACGCTTGTTGGGTTACTTAATGTTTAAATTCATACGTGGCACTCAGCGAAGATGTAATCATTAATAATAGTCAAGCAGACTAGCTTCACTAGCCATTACCCCATTTACTACAATTATCAAAACTTTAAATGCAACATCAATCGCCATCTTCTGTATTCCCGAAAATTATTCCTTCATTGTCTTTTCTTATCACTAACGTTTTATCATATTCTTTCACTCTCAGTAACCCAGTGCGTCTCAGTGACCTTATCGCCTTACTTGAGAAGGGAGAACGACTTTTTAAAAATTAAGTTGAGTGATTTTACGACATTTCAACGCTTGTTGGGTTACTTAATGTTTAAATTCATACGTGGCACTCAGCGAAGATGTAATCATTAATAATAGTCAAGCAGACTAGCTTCACTAGCCATTACCCCATTTACTACAATTATCAAAACTTTAAATGCAACATCAATCGCCATCTTCTGTATTCCCGAAAATTATTCCTTCATTGTCTTTTCTCTTCACTAACGTTTTATCATATTCTTTCACTCTCAGTAACCCAGTGCGTCTCAGTGACCTTATCGCCTTACTTGAGAAGGAGAACGATTTTAAAAAATTAAGTTGAGTGATTTTTACGACATTTCAACGCTTGTTGGGTTACTTAATGTTTAAATTCATACGTGGCACTCAGCGAAGATGTAATCATTAATAATAGTCAAGCAGACTAGCTTCACTAGCCATTACCCCATTTACTACAATTATCAAAACTTTAAATGCAACATCAATCGCCATCTTCTGTATTCCCGAAAATTATTCCTTTATTGTCTTTTCTCTTCACTAACGTTTTATCATATTCTTTCACTCTCAGTAACCCAGTGCGTCTCAGTGACCTTATCGCCTTACTTGAGAAGGGAGAACGATTTTTAAAAAATTAAGTTGAGTGATTTTATGACATTTCAACGCTCGTTGGGTTACTTAATGTTTATATTCATACGTGGCACTCAGCGAAGATGTAATCATTAATAATAGTCAAGCAGACTAGCTTCACTAGCCATTACCCCATTTACTACAATTATCAAAACTTTAAATGCAACATCAATCGCCATCTTCTGTATTCCCGAAAATTATTCCTTCATTGTCTTTTCTCTTCACTAACGTTTTATCATATTCTTTTCACTCTCAATAACCCAGTGCGTCTCAGTGACCTTATCGCCTTACTTGAGAAGGAGAACGATTTTTAAAAAATTAAGTTGAGTGATTTTACGACATTTCAACGCTTGTTGGGTTACTTAATGTTTAAATTCATACGTGGCACTCAGCGAAGATGTAATCATTAATAATAGTCAAGCAGACTAGCTTCACTAGCCATTACCCCATTTACTACAATTATCAAAACTTTAAATGCAACATCAATCGCCATCTTCTGTATTCCCGAAAATTATTCCTTCATTGTCTTTTCTCTTCACTAACGTTTTATCATATTCTTTCACTCTCAGTAACCCAGTGCGTCTCAGTGACCTTATCGCCTTACTTGAGAAGGGAGAACGATTTTTAAAAAATTAAGTTGAGTGATTTTACGACATTTCAACGCTTGTTGGGTTACTTAATGTTTAAATTCATATGTGGCACTCAGCGAAGATGTAATCATTAATAATAGTCAAGCAGACTAGCTTCACTAGCCATTACCCCATTTACTACAATTATCAAAACTTTAAATGCAACATCAATCGCCATCTTCTGTATTCCCGAAAATTATTCCTGCATTGTCTTTTCTCTTCACTAACGTTTTATCATATTCTTTTCCTCTCAGTAACCCAGTGCGTCTCAGTGACCTTATCGCCTTACTTGAGAAGGAGAACGATTTTTAAAAATTAAGTTGAGTGATTTTACGACATTTCAACGCTTGTTGGGTTACTTAATGTTTAAATTCATATGTGGCACTCAGCGAAGATGTAATCATTAATAATAGTCAAGCAGACTAGCTTCACTAGCCATTACCCCATTAGAGTCAATTTGAACGTTAGGGTTTGACATGATGAATAATGAGATAAAACAGTTTTTTCTCCAATTTGTTACCGTCTTTTGAGGAAATAAGTTTAAGAATTAAGTTTAGGTTCAAAATTGTAGTAATGGAATTTTATTTCGGTGATCAGTAAAAGCCTTATAGTAAAGCCTTATAAAATTTATAATTTACTGAAGCTTCAAAAAAAAATGGCATATAAACAAAATGGCGCAAGCATATTACTAAATCATTATACCATCAAATAAGACCTTCATTTACTTCAAAGGGAGATTATACTGAACCAATTTAGCTATATAATGAAGTAATAGTGATTTTCCAAGCGTAGCTTAGATGTGGCACAAGGCCGAAAGTATGGGACACCCAGTGAGGATCGAACTCACTATTCAGTCGTTATTATGTTAGCAAGACAAGCTTGTTAACCATTACACCGCCTCTAGGTGCCCAAATATAACGATAATATGTAATAATATAATATGTTATACTGTTATGGGCGCTTGGTTTGAACGTCAGCTTTCTGACCATGAGACTCGGTTTTGAATCTCACCACAGTTGATTTGTCAGGAAGGAGACTTCCTGATGTTATCTGTCTGGAGGGGGAGGATCCCAGCGTGCGGCACCTTTGGAAACCATAAGCCTTGTGAGTGAAATTGGGTAGACGGAGCACTTGGGGGTCGGCGATAGCTGTGCTATAGCACGAAGTCACAAGTCATCGTGGTCGAGAGTTTGAGAGTACTAGCCTTGGTTAGATTGTTAGATCACGCTAGATAACACGCTCTCTCCCAGAAGGTCTGCTCAGCATAGTTGCAGTTTAAACCACAGGTGGGCTCTGTGGGTGTTGAACAAACACAAATGTGCCTGTGCGAGCGTCTGCAATAGGGATTGGCTAGCCACCCTAGTAGACCGGTATCCTCGAATACGAGTGGCCAGCATTATTATTATGTTATACAGTGGAGTAGTTGTAGTGTGATTTTCAATAAACAATGCAAATCTAAAACATTTTGTCTTATAATTTGTGCCCAGTAGTATTATGGCGCTATATAAAACTTTGTGTCTGTCTATATTTCTGAGATGAGGTATTATGTACACTATTTACATTATTCGGACTATTGTCCTCATCTTTGTCGCCATATTTATTACAACGTTTCGGCCTTTCAGTATCTGTCTATATTTCTGAGATGAGGTATTATGTACATTATTTACATTATTCGGACTATTGTCCTCATCTTTGTCGCCATATTTATTACAACGTTTCAGCATTTCAGTATCTGTCTATATTTCCGAGATGAGGTATTATGTACACTATTTACATTATTCAGACTATTGTCCTCATCTTTGTCGCCATATTTATTACAACGTTTCGGCCTTTCCGTATCTGTCTATATTTCTGAGATGAGGTATTATGTACACTATTTACATTATTCAGACTATTGTCCTCATCTTTGTCGCCATATTTATTACAACGTTTCGGCCTTTCAGTATCTGTCTATATTTCTGAGATGAGG